GTTTAAAAAAATTATCGGTATGTATGAAAAATTTATATTTATATAATCATAACAATATAAACATACAATAAAATAAATATACCTTTTCCTAAATATCAAAGAAAAAATTATTTTAATGTCAGAAAGTGAAACTATTTAAATCATTTACATATAAATGTCCAATTATTATTATATCGAGGCTTTAAAAACTGAAAATCAAAAACTAGTAAACGAGAGGATCGATTATACGGTTATCGATCACCATTAATGTTACTTCGCGTTTCGTTACGATCATCTCATTCCAGATCCATCTTACTCTCGATTCTTTTCCAAAGCGGATCGTCTCGATTTTAAGCGCCGTCAGGCGTAACCAAGACGATGCAATCATGATTCTCATCTTTGACGAAGGACAGCGCGATCGAGACAATATGATAGCCAGCTCTCTCGCCGCGAAGAAATCAATGCGAGCGAATCTGCTTCTTTCGCAGACGCATAAAAGTGCTCTACAGCGTCATATACTACAGCTGAAATATTTCTACACAATATAAGTCTCCATGCTCTTTATGCTTGGGACACACCGCAGTTAAACATTGCGACGACTTTTATAGGCCTGTGCGCGAATCCCGCACACTCGTGCTTGATTATACGATGTTGCCTGCTGCGCCGCATGTTTCCACTTAAACGCACACGTGCATATGCACTTGTGTATTTGCACGCATCTGCCGGTCACGCACATCGTTGCGGGCGCGATGTTACTCTCGCTTCGGGCAGGGCCGCCGGTCTCGAGAGCGAGAAAAAAAATTTACCTGCTGTTCGAGTCGCCGACACTGATCGCCATAGGATAGATGCATTAAATAATTGATTAAACAATATGTCGAATAATTTTATTATTTTGATAGAAATAAAAATATTTTTATTCGTGCAGAAGAGAGATCTTCGACAACTGACATCATTGAATAGTAAGGATGATGTATTTCACATTTATATCTCGAATTATTACAATCTTGTGGATGTGTAATAGACATTATAATTTTGTTATTAAATATAAAGGAAAATGTACTGTGAAAGTATTAATTAACACATATGGTATTTCCATAATTCATTAAAAAATAATATTTAAAAAAAAGATATATATTTATTTATTATTATACATAGTATTACTTTTTGGATGGAATATGTAATGAGTACAAATCTTGTCGGAACGACTGTCATAATTAATTATGACATATAATAAAATTAATTTACGTATATATATTTTGAAAGTTTCCGAGAGAATTAATGGAATATAATATTCATATCTCCCTCCTGCCTTTAATTGGCTCACAAAGGAGCAAGCTCAGGGATATTGATAATTTATGAAATCGCTAAAAGAGCGTAACGTGCTAAATTATTTATCTGCGATATAAATTATACTTTATACCGTGGATGCTGTCAGATAACCCTGACAAACAACCTCGGTCGCGATGGCGCTCATAAAAGAACACGATACTCCTACGTGATGTCCGTGCACGAATTTGCGCATCAAAGGTAAAAAATTAAGCTGAATTCTTATAAGCAATAGGCAATAAGCGCTGGCCGTATATTCTTAGGGTTCGCAGTTGATGTTGAGAGAAGAAAATGTTCCTATCTCGTCCGATACCGGTTGCCAGGTGCGTGAAGAAGCTGTTTCACGCAGCTCTGGATACGTGACCGTGAAAGAGAACGTGCAACGCACTTTCTGACGCGACATCGTTCCAGTGTCATCTCGGCAGAAATTAATCAGTTCAATTAATTAGTACAATCCATCGAGAGAGAGAGAGAAAAGGAGAGAGGGAGAGAGAGCCGACGGATTTTTATACTCACATTCTTGGACTCTGTTAATGCAAACTTATCAATTCTGTAATGGATAATATGGAGTTTGGACGTTGCTGTTCGATTACTTTATCGCGTCTCAAGTTTCTGCAATTAATAGCACATCTCGCGAGATACGTCAATCTCGTACTGTGGAGGGGAATGTATAAATATGTAATGATTGAATGCAAAATTATATTATTGTAATCTATCGAATATCTAGAGAATCAACACATTAAAAGTTTCGATAATCAATTTATTATTAAATTAATTATATTGCAAATTTCAGAAAATGAATACTTTTTTATATCAGAGGGAAGAATATTAATATTAAAGAATATTTTAATATATAAATATCAATATTAATATATTAATATATGGATAAAATATAATATAGATGTATTTATGCACTTTCATTTTTTTGCATAGTTTATATTAAATACAATTATATAAGAATTAATAATTAAATTAATTATAATAATGTTTATCGATAATGTTCAATTTACGGGATAAAAGCACGATAAATATCATGGCAAGGCTTTTTGCAATTACTCCGATTGATCTGTTGCGCTTATAAAAGTAAATCGAAAGTGGATCTTTTCTTATCGAACTTTTTTTTTATTTGAAAATGACGAAGCCTTTGTATCATGCGATCCTAAAACGAATATTCGAAGTACTTTGCTAAGTCATGGCTAACGCACAAAAGCATGAGCGAGATGCATCATGAGAATGGCCGTTTTTTGCATCACTGTTAGAATAAAGCGAGTAAACGAACGGACATGTAATAACGAAAGAACCGAAGAGAAGATCTTATCGATTCTCTGATGCATAGATGGCAACAATAACGTGCTGTAAAAATCTAAAACGCGGAAATGATCGCATTTTCCACGATCGTATTTCATAGAGGTAAATAACAATCTACTGTCTCTGAAAAAGAGCATTTTTATGTCGGCCTTTTCAAACCACTTATTGAGTCTTGATTCGCCATATCAAATTAGCTGCGAGAAATCTTACGATATTAATGCATTGTAATTGACTGAAATTTTTCAAATAAATTATTGTCCTCATCCCGATTATGCATTCATTTTTCTCTGTCATTTCGCAAATCCACTACTTACTTGTCTTTATGTCTCGCGTGTATTTTATGCGTATATTCCTCATGTATCAAGCTGTCAGTTATTTTGGAATCCCGTTATGCGGTTGATTTTGCATAATAAACAGTATACCGTTATAATGCAGCGGTTAGGTTACTATATTTATACAGTAAAATTTGATATATTTGTTGATTGAAAGTGCGCATTTGCTTTATAATTATTTCGTAACGACACCATGCATGTATTAAGTTCTTCAATTCACAAACAAGGTTCAAGTGGATGAAGGAAAAATAAAAAAAGTAATACAGCAAGATATGATTACTTATATACTTATCCTTTTATCGTAGACATCATAAATATCATGTATATATAATTATTATATATAAGGTGTATCGTTGTACTACCACCAGCTTAACTCCAGCAATTTACGATCATTAGCATACATTCAGTAACATGTTTTTTAATATGCATACGCGCAGAGCACACACTTTTTCACATTATTTTCTTATAACGTATATCAGACTCGAGAGATGTTTAATAACATAATAAAAACGTGGAGCGACATTCACTTGTGTCTCTTTAGTCATATAATATCTTTAGTCTTTATAGAATATAATATGACAGTATTAAAGAAATATAAGATAATGGAAATAAATTATTAAAAATAAAATTACCTTTAATTTTATATTTTTTATATCTTTTAACTTAGATGCTGTACGATATTATGCATTGTATAATATCAGCAGAGATTATAAAATTATAAAAGACAATGTATTATATATTATATTAATTATGTTATATCATATATCAAAATTATGGAAAAAGAATTGAAATATGTGATCTCCAATAAAATAGACGTCAAATAATCTTGCTATTCATTGTCTCGTTCTTACAAGACGTTGCAGATTGTTAGTTTTTTTATCAGATAATTAAGCAAGAATATGTTTTTTTATTTACAAGAATAATAATATGTCAAATGAGATATTGATTATATAAGATGTATATTTACGCGTGCACATAAACACATATCTCCAAGTGTAATTAATGTTTTAATCATTTTTCTAAAATCTGTTGATTATAATTGAAAAAAATTTATGTATATTCAATAGATATGAAGATAATCTTTTAATTCCTCGTATGAACAGATTTTGCTACGTTAAAAAATTCTTCCATGCCATTATGCCAAATGTATTGTATGTATATATTTATATTTGATATAAATATAAATATAAATTTTTGATCCATGTAAAATTGATGTATTTATAAACATTACATTTTTATTCTATTAATTTATTTGTTGTAAATGTTTTACTAGACATTACAATAAATTCGACAAGAGTCATCTGGTATACATTAAAGAGATACCTTTCTTAACAGCTGTTGCTTTATTCTTAAGGAACTTGCTGCTAGTTTTGCCAGGCCAAGATGTCGCACAATGTTATACCTGAGAGAAGACTGAGAGATGTCATGGTCTGCTTTTAGGTGATCCCTGAAAGCGATACTTCCTCTATGGACATTGAAAACGTGGACATAAACTACAAAGCCAATGTCCATGAATGTTCTCAGAGAGTAATATATGTGTACAATTTCTGGTTTTGTTCTGTATTATGTGCACGAAATGCCAGTAGCACCGAATTTATTGATTAATTTATTGAATATGAATTTATTCGATTGTTTTACCGCGCTTTTTCGAATTTATTCGATTGTTTTACCGCGCTTTTTCAAATTTTATAATATTTAGTTTTGCATTTTAAAAGACTTAGAGCGAACTAAATAAACAAATAAATAAATAAATAAATGTTGAGAAGAAGAAAAGGAAGACAAATAAATAAATATATAATATAAGTATATAATATAAATATATAATATAAATAATAGCGTGAAAAGAGAGAACATATTTATTATTAATATTTTTATATAATAAATTATTATTAATTAAATTGTTTATATTTTTATTTATATTATTTATATTATCAGAGGAACATATATGTTATCCTCTGAGAACATTCGTGGACATTTGTTTTGTAGTTCATGTCCACAGAGGGAGTATCGTTTCCAGGAATTACCTAAAAGCGAGCCATGAGCCATGACATCTCGCATTGTTAATCTTTTCTGTGGTTATACACGTAAAGGATGTAGCGTAAAAATGCAGTTATATTTCTCAAAAAGATTTTGTAATATAGTTTCTTTAGCTTTGACACGCTTTATTTCAAGTCTGATAATGTGAGTGACACTATCGTATTAATATACGAGATAAAATGTAAATATTTATAAACACATGTAATACTATAATGTGTGATATAACCTGAAAATTAGACTTCTGATATGTCGATTTCTGATTATACAATATTTTATATCGAATAATATTATTTTATTGATATCTCATTTTTTATTTTGTAGAACGAAAGCCTAATGGATCTGCAAACTCAACAGAAGATTTTACAATTTGAGACATTTGTAAATGATGTATTAAAAGCTGATCTTGCAAAATTAGCTGAAAAACTCGATGTTAAGAATGCTGATGTAGCTGAATTTCTACAACTGAAATCAGTGATAACTACATTTCAAAATACAAATGTCGAAAAAACAGGTTTCAAGACCAAAGTCGATATAGGAAATAATTTTTTTATTCAAGCACACATTCCAGATGCTTCAAAGATTTTATTAGATGTTGGTTTAGGGCATTATGTTGAATTTGATTTGGCTGAAGCTTTAATAGTTATAAATGTACGGATTAAGCTGCTGGAGAAACAGATTGCTCATTTGCGGAAAGTGATTGCAAGAACCAATGCTCACATTAAGTTAATCCTTATTGTCATTAGAGATTTGCAAGGAATTAAAGAAAATAATGAATAAAAACCATGGTAATGTACAAAGGATGATATGAGAATCAAAAATCATCCAGTGTTACCCTGTTATAAATAAATAAAAAACAGTACATGCTATAACTTGCTACAATGGCAACACAAATTTTATAAATTTATTAATAAACATGTGTAATTCACAATATATATTTTTATTTTAATTTAAGAAATTTACAAAGACAGAAAAATTTGAAATTAACGGAAAATTATAAAAACAAAACATAAATCAAAGTCGCAATAAAGTCGATATAAACAGAGATCTCTCGGACGCAAACAGAATAAATACAAGAACAATATAAGATAAATCGGATATAATAAAAGGCGCACGCATAATTATAAAGAGAGAAAATATTAAAACGGAAATTTCCACATGCGAAACGGCCATATGTGCTCACCTGCCAGCCTTCCAGGACTGGTAAAAAAGCAGTCGAAAACATAATCTGTTAAGCAAGAATGAAAATGTGTCTTCTTAAAGATGCTTCAATCCAAGAAAATTCAGATTTTAATAATAGGAAGAAAGAAAAGTTGGTAAAGATACTTCCAAACAGACTCAATGAAGATCTGTAAACGAAATCATAACGGAGCAATACACCTCACCGAAACACATGCAAAAATTCACAATGAAAAAATCAATGATTCAAAAAGACATAATGAATTGAATAAGAGTTATCACTGAATACAAAAGACACAATAAATTAAATGAGAGTACCTGTCAATCAGAATAAGCAAGACCCAGAAGGAAACAGCTAGTTATGTTTTGTTTTTATAATTTTCCGTTAATTTCAAATTTTTTCTGTTAGACATTGATAATGATCCGAACGGGATCGAAACGTACGTCTGTCGTTTTAATTAAGCGTCAACTGATTATTTTTATATGAACATGTGTTGACTTATTATATATTAAAATTTTCTTTTAATTGTAGCTATCATTAACCTAGCGCTGTGGTTTTTTTGCCTGTTTTCCTCTATTTATTTTGATTGATATTTAATACATTTTGTAAAGCATTTTTACTATCTTAACTATGACTTTATTCAAGATAAGGTGACATGTTTGAAAAGTACTTCTTCCCTTGTCATTTTAAATTTCAGACGCAGCCACTTATGCAAATATGTATAAAAGTAGCCTTCCTAGCATTTTTTCCCTATTCTCCCTTCATGTACACATCTTGTATTTATGACTTAAGCTGTACCATACTGCATATGAGTTTGAAGCTTGCATGATATTTCAAGTGTTTACCAACGCATACATTTATGCATATATTATCTGCTCTCCTATTAGGTTTAAAGAATATTCAGTCATACTTATTCATTTATTAGCTCTTTAAGATTTTAGAAAGACCTAGTTTCTCCAAAATTCTGTTTTAATTTCATTAGCTCTTTAAAATTTTAGTAGAAAGAAACAGTTTCTTAAAAATTCTGTTCTAATTATATTTTGGAATTTATACATCTTAAATTTCTATGAAACATATTCTGAATCATTGTTCTACATTTGTTTTTTATTTTCTATTTATTGTTTGATCGTGATTGTCAAATTTTGTAAAGGTAAGTATGATACAGTGCATAAGTAATGTCTATAATATAGTTTAATATATATAATTATTGGATTATGTTAAATACTAGCTTTTCGGCCCGCGCTTCGCGCAAGGGTGTAATAATTTATATTTTTGATAATTAAAGAATAAGTTCAATTAATTGTTGGAACATTTTCTGTAAAATCTCTATATAAGCTTCTGCTCATAAATTGGTGGTTAAAAACTTGTTGATAGTTTATCGATAGTAATATCATCGGATGATATATATCATATCTTCATTGACATAGTATGATAATTAAACTTTGTTTGAGAAGAAGATTGTATATTTTATATACTGTCTGCTAATAACTCCTAAATATTCTTACATAGTGACTGATAATAAATATTTTGTAGACCTACGAATATGTTTAATGATATTACTTTAGAATTTTCTAGATGGCATTGAAAAAATCTTCGAGTATTTTCTTAGGATATATTTTAAAAAATATTTACTATAAATGCATTATTTTATATCATATAACAATGTAAGTTGCTATTTATTATCTAATGTCATCATTTATTATATCTTTTTTGTTTAAAGGAAAAAGAAGGAATAAATTAAAGAATTATATGAAGATTAATGTTGTTGAAAATAATGAATCACACACAATTATAAAATCACTTTTTTTATGATTAAAAGTTTGGTAATATAGATGAATAAGATATTTATTATGTATTTTAAAAGATAGAAAAAATTAAATATTTAGATAAAACTTTTTAGCAATCTTCTCTCTCTTTATAAACATTTTAAAATATAATATCTTGAAATTTTAGTTTTATTTTATCTTAATTTAAGATAAGTACATATACAAATATTTTCAAAAACCATGTTTGATGATTAATTGATAAAATGTTTGATGATTATTTTCTAATCCTATTTTTGATGCTATATGTTTTTTTAACACTATAAATCGATATTATATTCGATATTATATTTGTAATTTTTAAATAAAAGATATATACAATTTATTAAGCTTTGTTTTCAAATAAAGATAATTCTTTTTACATAAATGCGATGAACTTCTGCTTATATTTTATTTTTTTGACAAGAACGAGAAGAAGAAATAATGAATTCCGGACACGGAAATCAATTCGTCCGGCTCAATTATGCGAAATGTAGTAGCTAAATGATCTGATTAGGAGAGAGATTGGACAGTAAATTTCTAATGTTAAGATAAAAGATGAATTCATGATTCGGTTCGTGGTGTTAAGACATCAGTAGTGATCAGTAGTGAAGTCAAGTAATCCACATTTAAATAAGAGAAGCCATACATCCATACTACCGGGAATATAATTATTCGCCATGGCTGTATACATACGATTGATATTTACTGAAGATGATAATTTGTACATGTCACAAATATTTTTCGGCACTATTATATCTAATATATTTCTTAATATATCCTAATACGTTTAAATTTATACTAACGTAATATTATTTAATAAATATGATATAAAATATTGTTGTAAAATATAATTTTTTTAAATAGACAATAACACATGCTCGATATTTATTATAATTCAAAGATGTTTTCGATTTGCGTATAATATTCTCTCGTATATGATTTCAGTGATAATATTATCTATCTAAAATTAAAATATCAAGAGAATTATTTATAATATTGACAGCTATAAGAGAATTCTAAACTTGTATATATTTTCAATACTAATATATGAGAAAAAAAGACAAGAACATTTTTATTAAATGATCTTCATTATGTATCTTTTTTTATACTTGATATATATTCTGATGTATTTGAAGATTCTTCACAGGGCGCTTTTCATGTCCACTACAATCCTGTATTCTAAGTCGAACCCATTAGGGGTTCTTGGTCTACAGATGAGTTTAAAACACAATAGGTTACCAACGTGAAAAGTTGTTAACACGAATATTAGTTATACGTACAAGTATTACTTTCCTAAATATCATCAAATATGTATAGATTGAAGTTACAATGTGGAAAAAATCTGCCAAAGCTTTCTTCAAAGGTGTGTATTCTAATTGTCATTTGATTTTTAATATGTCTTATTATTTTGTATTGTTCATAAAATATTACCTCGTTTGAAATATGCAGCGTTTAATTCAAATTTATTTTATGTAACTATTTCGATGTAATGCTGTTTTTGACAATTGATCTATAATTGCACTTGATTTACAATTAACTATTCGAAACTCAGTGATTAAAAGAGTTTTGCCTATACCAAAAATTATTTTTTTGCAATATGAATCTTTGTATCTGATAATATATAGTATATTCTATTTATTATATTTCTACATTGAGATATTGATCAATCTTTAATTTAATGTTTAATAAACATATAAATATATAAGTATATAAAAGTTAATTGATAAACATATAAGTATATATTATAAGTGTACATAAAAGTTAAATGTTAAAATTTTAGACTTATATTATAAAGTGATTACAATAATGCATATTTCATGCAAATTTTGCTCTTAAATTTTTCGTAAGTTAAATAATAATTAAAAACGATGTGATAAATGTTGAAGTTGTGTTTCGATTATGTTTTTTTATATTTATATTATAGTTTTAATTTATACAAATTTTGTTTAAATTTAGATATTCAGCACTTACATATAATATTATTTATATTTTACTCATTTATGTATTATTTATAGTTTTATTTATAGTTGTATCATTTATGTATTATTTATAGTTTAACATCGCATTTAATATAAGTTTATAACTTGTTATTTTTAACTATAGCATTTCAACTATCATTTTATCATACAATAAGTATTGGTTCTATTATATGTTAGTCATGTTTGATAATTTCAGGTGCCATTATGGTTATTATGATAATGATGCTGATAATAATTGTCATTAAGCATTATTATTATATGCATATACGTGTGTGTGTGTGTGTGTGTGTGTGTGGTGTGTGTGTGTGTGTGTGTGTGTGTATCATAATTCTTTTTCATTTTATATGTTAAATTATATAATAACTATATTGATCAATTCTTATATGCTTTTTATATTATTTTGAATTAAACATTTTTTAATAAAAAATATCTTTCTATGTAAATTCTTTATAAGAATTTGCAATTATTTTTAAAACTCACAATATGATATCATGCTCCTTTAAACTTTAATTGCACTAACATAAAAAACGCATTATTTGCAGTAGATAATCTATTGTAAATGTTGCAATTAGTTGGAAATTAGTTTGTTGCGAAAGAATATATATATATATATATATATATATATATATATATATATATGTGTCTGTCTATGTGTATGTATGTAAAATAGCTAAATAATTATATAAAATTGCATATATTACTTTTATTCTTTCGCAACAAATTATCAACTAATTGCAACTTTTGCAATAGACTCTATGCAAATATATATATATATATATATATATAAAGAAACTAAATATTGTATGTCATTATGCAAAAAAGTTTAACGTGCAATTTTTCGTTGCAATTTAACTTGAAATTTGTGTTATAAACTTTTCGAAGAAGGATTAAAAGTGAGTATCAAATAGATAAATTATATGTGCGTTGAATTGTATTAGATGATTTTAACTTAAATGTGCACTTTTTTAAACAAAATAATCATTTTTTTAAATAAAATAGTTCTAATATAAATAATGTTCTTTAAAAAGCATATAGAAAATATAAAGAATATAGAAAGAACAAAGATACTTCGAATCATAAACTATCTATATCTATAAAATATCTTATTCTTCATATGTATCTTTTTTTACACACATACACACACACACACACACACACACAATATATATGTATATATTCTTTAATATATATTTTTAATATTAGTATTTCAATATTAGTAAAATAAAAGCAAGTGAAGATTTATTTCAGTACAATTGGATTGTAGTTTATGTAAAGATAAGAAATTATTTCAAGCCTCATAATTCGAAAAGTACTTAGCAAGAAAATATTTTATTATGGTGTTTTGGAAAGCTCTTGAGATGCTATAAAAACGTGCGATAAAAAATAGGAAGTTCCATTTAAGAAAACAAAGTTGAACTTCCTAAGACCATGATTCTTTCATTTAAAGTCAAACGGGTATGACACACCATTTAATAGAACTTTTAAAATTTTCGTCTGATACATTTTTTTTCAAAAATTTTATTTTGTTTTTGAGATATTATATACCCGTTTAGATATATGTATATAATAGATATTATATCGTTTCGGGGGAACTTTTGGCGGACTCTGTATATATATAATGTTTGACAATATTTACAATTATTTGGTTTCACTGATTAACTGTCTTACCAATAGTAATATATTTTACTTATATGGTAAATCTTATTCTCACTGCGTGGTTTTTATTTTTATATTGCCACTCAATTCAGATTTTCGCGCCGAATGCACAGGAACCTTAATATAAATAATAATTGTTTGTGTCTTATAATATTTATTCTTAGAATATGGAAATCATGGGCACTTATCACTATCTCATGGACGAAATTTCGGGTAAGTTAGATGAATAAGTAATGGAATAAAAATATATTTATGTGAAATATATATGATATGATATTATATTATATTATGTTATATTATATTGTATTATATTATATTATGAGTGAAAATAAATGAATGTAATATTTGACAGTATGTAATAACATGAATGGTATAGTTATTTCTTTGAATATATTGAAAAATTCTTTTTATTAAATTTATAGATAGTATTGTTAATTTCTTTTTTTTTATAACTGCATAATTATTCAAATTTTTCTATTTGTTATAATCATTTTTCATGAATTTAAATGCGTTATTGTATATATAGCACACATAATATTTCAAAACTTTTTTTTCTGTTTTGCAGATCCTAGAGTTTCTGATTGGCTATTTATGTCAAATCCATTTAGTGTAATACTAATTTTGTTCACTTATTTATTTTTTGTACTTTACTTTGGACCACGTTACATGAAGGACAAAAAACCTTATACGCTCAAAAAGATTATGATTTGTTACAATATTTCTATTACAATTGCAAATGTTATTGTATTTTATGGTGTAAGTATAATCAATAAATTATATATATATATATATATATATATATATATATATAGTATATATGATAAATATTTTTAGTTATAAATATTTCATGTTATTTTCTATTTATATTTTTAGGTTTAAAATTGCACTTAATGTATTTTCTGTTTTTTAGACACTAACATCAGGTTATACGACGCATCTTTCCATGGGATGTGAGCCTTTTATAATTTCAAATGATCCTATATCACTTAGTGTAAGTAACTGTATTAATGATTATAATAAAATTAAGTGTTATATATTACTAATATTTTTAAGTTTTCTTAAAAAAATTTAAAATAAAATTATATATAAAATATTTAAAAAATTAAAATATCTTTACACAAAAACCTCAATTTTTAACATAAATATAGCTAAATATAGTTAAAATTTGATCAATATAAAAATATTTAATATAAAAATTTTTTTTATAAAAACTGTGTATATTTGTATGTATGTGAGTGTACATGTGCATCAGTTTTTATTATGTATAGATGGCTCGATGGGTATGGTGGTATTTTACTCTGAAAATCATCGAGCTTGCGGATACTGTGATTTTTATCCTCAGAAAAAAATATAATCAAATATCGTTTCTTCACGTATATCATCATACAATAACTGTCATTACGACTTGGATTATTTGTAAATATGTACCTGGTACGTATTAGATAGTAATTTTAATAATTTAAAAATAATTAAAATTAAATCAATAATTTATTCATATCTCCATTATTCGAAAATATTTATAATTAAATATATACTGTATGCATATTAATATTTTGTTATGTTTAATATTCTGAAACAGGATCTTTTTTCCTACTTTTATAATCACAATAGATAATGATTAGATAAAATAAAGTATATGTATAGGTGGTATGTGGACTTTTGTAATGTTGCCCAATTGCGCAGTGCACGTAATCATGTACATGTATTATTTCTGTGCTTGTTTGGGGCCCGAAATGCAGAAGGTAGTCATTCCCTGGAAAAAATCTATGACAAGTTTGCAATTGGTACGTAGCGATTTTATATCATTTTATATTTGTTATATTCTGACAAATTTTTAATCATCGATTGAAAATAATTAGATTTTTTCGTTTGCTTTTTGATATTGACCAACCCTTTGTAAAACTTTTACAAAGTATTACAGATTCATGCGGACATATAAAATAGCGCGTTTTGCGTGATATGTTCATACATACGAACTTCATTGTGGTTACAGCGCTCCCATAACTTGATAACTGGCTTTTCACGAGGGATTGAAAAGCTCCGTAAGCGCTGCTTGCAGAATCACACGTGTTCTCGTCGAATCCCAATTCGGTTTGCATTTGAGCGTAACAACGAGGGGCGGGGTAAAATGGGTGGACGAAGGCTCGTGGTACCGTTTTTAATTAAATAATCCGTTACCAGAGAATTTTTATTTCCGGCGATATCGACGGAACGATTTATCGGGTTACGTAGTTGTTTAATTTCGCGCGGAGTTTTTGCGCTCTAGAATTCCTGTCAAAGGTTGGACGAGGGCAAAATGCTTTTTTACATGTAATACATACATATATATATATATATATATATATATATATGTAATGTGTGTGTGTGTGTGTGTAATATATATATATATATATATATATATATATATATAAAATTTATATTTTTAAAAATATTTATGTATATGTTTCTCTTAGTAGGTGTTATTTTTACATGGTAACAAATATTTATTTATATGTCTTCTGAAATTTTATTAATATATGTAATTTTCTATATATTTATATATATATATATATATATTTATAATATATATATATATATATATATATATATATATATTGCTTTTGCAAATTTCTAGCAAAATATAAAATAGTTTGTGTGTGTGTGTGTCATGTGCGATCACGAGGATTATATTATATTAAAAAATCATATTTTAAAATATTATCAAAAACATTTGATTATATAATATATTTAAAAAATGGGTACAAATAAATGTATCTATGTGCCTTTATCACAGTGAAAATTGACATAATATTTTTTATTTCAGATTCAATTTGCTATCATGGTGACCCATATGTTTCAAACGCTTCTACCATCCTGCGAACCACGCGGAACCATTAGCATACTTTATCATGTCTCAACTTTGCTTCGCGTTTTATTTGTTCTTAGACTATTATAGGAAGTCGTACTTGAGAAAAAAAATTGAGTAAACGAGTAATATCTTATGATGACGTTCTAGTTAATCAAAAGTTGATTCCTGTTTGTATGGATTTATATTTTTTATGTAAATTATATATTCCAATTAGTTTAAATTAGTAAATTCAAAAAAAAAAATTTTTATTTAAATTATATTAAAAAAATCATATTAAAATAATCAAAAAATATATAATAATTTAAAAATACAAATAAATGTATTATGGCCTTTATCACAGTGAAATTGACATAATATTTTTTATTTCAGATTCAATTTGCTATCATGGTGACCCATATGTTTCAAACGCTTCTACCATCCTGCGAACCAACGCGGAAACCATTAGCATACTTTATCATGTCTCAACTTTGCTTCGCGTTTTATTTGTTCTTAGACTATTATAGGAAGTCGTACTTGAGAAAAAAAATTGAGTAAACGAGTATATTTATGATTTTTTATTTTTTTTTATTTTATCATTTTTGTAAATGATAAAATCTCTTAAGTATTTTTTCAATTCCCAATTAGTTTAAATAGTAGAATCTCAAATTCTCGATTATTTGTAACAAACAAATGATCGACAAATTCAAACAAATTAAATGAAAATTTGAATAATTTCAGGAATCACGTAAATTATTATCGTAAGTTGCAAATAGTACAAAACTTTTTTTAAATATAGTATATGTTGTTCATTATAGTTTTTTGTTGTGCTATATATATACTTGATTTAATTAGCATTATTATTTTGAAGTAAAAAAATACTGTTAGAAAATATGATTTTAATTTGTGAATATTAATTTCATTTGCATATATTTGCGAATATATTTCGAGATTCTATGAAATATGCTTCTAATCTCATTACAGAATCTGATATTTTTATGCAACAAATACACATAATTCATATAATTCGTCACTTTTATAAAAAAAATTTGCACTATTTTTATTATTTATTATTTAAGTATTAATATAATTGCTGTAAAAACAAAGTGGAGCATAAGAATAGAATTAAATATGATTTATCTTGCATCTCAAAAGAGAAAGAGTTAAGAAAGACATACACACGCATAAAGAACACACATAAGTCAACAAAATGATATATGTTACGTTGCTCGTAATGCTCTCGTGTTACGTCGTCAGCTCAGATTTTATTCGCAAGGCTATCGTACTGTCGAATTCTCTTCTTCTTTCTTATTTGCTTTGCCTTATACAATGTTCTAGATAACGTTCTGTTAATGTCGTAAATATAATATACCGAATACACATGAATTTTATTTGTTTTTTTTTCTGTTTTCATTCTTTCTTACATCATGAGAATTTTGCCATTGAAAATAAAGGATATTTCGGAAAGCTATCGAAATATTAAAAAAAAAATTATACTTAGGAAAACTTCAATTTCTGTTATCATTTCCGAAAACAATTGCTTAAACTTTCTTAACATGATTATTTTTCGTAAGTCGTAAGAATTCCGATATTCGAGCTCGCACAGCTTTTCCCTGGTCGAAAGTATCCTGTGCAATCCCGTGCTATTCTCATACGTAGTTGAATATATACATATGTGCATGTTGTGTTCTATGCTGATACGCGTGTGTCCGGGAAAATTGCATTACCTTACTCGACTGTTTTCCCGGCCGACTGACATTAGCATAGCGGATTAGTGCGTCCATGGCTTTAAGTCGACACGCATGGCCTCACGCCGATAAGACTTTATTAACGTCTCCTGTATTTATCCCATGCTTCAAGCGGCGACCCCTTTCTGCATAGAATGTCCTTCCCTTTATAGGTTCTCGCCGTATACGCGATAGGCTAATCCTTTCCATGTATGTAATAATTCCATATATCTTTAATATATATTATGCATATTACCACATATTATTTTGTTCCTGTTATTTAATATAACAGTTTCATATTATTTCCTAAACAACGAGGAATGTTGGGGATAGATTATTATTACACCTGAGCAATAGGGAGTAATTATTCTTTTCTTATTTAACTAGCAATTGCGAATTGCTTTTCAACGTAATAATTATCGTGTTTATCATTTAATATTTAGCGTGAATTATTATTTGGTGCTGAACATATTAGGGCAGCGATGATTTATTTACTTCGAGTAGTCAGAATATAAAGAATTGAGGATTGCGTAAGAATGTATTAAACTTGGTTTGATATACTAAAGAAAGGGAGACTCGTGCCGAAAATACAAGAAGGGTGGATTATCAAAGTTAAAATTTCACCACTGTTTTGACGCATTTCTGTTGAATTTATTTAATCGAAACAGGTCGACCGTTCAATTTCGGCATTATAACGATATCGTCTTATTTATATTTAACAAGTTACTTTAACCAAAACGTGATAAAGCGGGAAAGAAAGACTTATAAAGAGATAATTTATTTTTTTTTTTTTTTTTTTTTTTTTTTTTTTTTTTTTTTTTTTTTTTTTTTTTTTTTTTTTTTTTTTTTTTTTTTTTTTTTTTTTTTTTTTTTTTTTTTTTTTTTTTTTAGCTAAGTATAAAGTCAGAGAAAAAAAAAAACGTAATATAATCGTTAAAAAAAAAAAAAAAAAAAAAATACAATTCTGTTAAACTAAAAAACGGAATAAAACGGGAAAAAAAGAAAGACTTATAAATATTTAATATAAAAATATATATTTAAATATATGCTTATTAATATTATTATAATATTATAAATAATAAAATAAAATTATTTAAAATATTAAGTATTATAAATATTAAAGTATATATATATTATATATATATATATAATATATATATATATATAAAATTTAAAAATTATAAATTTTGAAGCATCAAAAAAAAATATCTTTATATAGAAAGCACTTTTACGACTAAAAAGTTTGTTTATATTATCAAGAGATATATAAATATAATTGCAATATAATGCTATAATTATATTTTATATCTTTACATAATTTTATCTATATTTTCTACTTTTTAAATCTGGTTAAGAAACGCAGATATTATATGTAATATCGATCGCGTTATTTCGCTGCTATTTAGCGTGCGTATGGCAAAACGCATATGGTAATATCATGGTGCATAATATATGGTAGCAGCGGCACTTATTTTTGGAAAATTTTAATATTGCACCCGGTGTCATTATTACCAGCTATGCCTCGTGACGGCGGTGCAGCCAATTCTGTGAAATTTATAAGGTAGCACCCTCGGCATGTAGTCGCCGCTCCCATATTACGATCCTCCGTTACGATCGCCCAGTATACGACGTAATTGGTTGCTTAAATACCAAAGTACATATATACATAATTGCGTATGTGTGTGTAGCACCTATTGGAATGGCAATGTGTAGACTAAGCCAGGTAGTTTCGGCTCTTTGGTACAGCATTGAACTATGAATAGAAACCTCGCTCGCAAATTGTCGATTTTTAACGTATATCTTTTGGTACCAGTAACTTACAACATTGATTATGATCCAATGTACGCTTGGATCAAGTTGTAGCAAAGCGCAAGTTTAGGAAAATAATGGCAAAACTGATACAAGATCGATTGCTCGAACGCTTGCGAAAGGAAATAAATTTCTTTACATGCTTAATCCAATTTGCTTCTACTTATTGCAACTAATATAATGCTTATTTCAAATATCATAAACAAGTCATAATTTTGAATTATTCATTTTTGCGTTTCAGAAATTTTTGCATTTCGAGAATGTTAACCGAACAGGGTTGAATAAATGCGACATTATTAATCTCATATCATTAAAAATCCACAGATGTTTCGAAGCGGTCTTTAAATCTTGTCAAGACAATTTCGTAGATGAAAGATTATACCGTATATTGCGGAAATCGTAACGCTGCCGGAACGTAATAGAGGAGTCCACCGTATTTATGATCGGTGTAAAACATCGGGCCCATGCCGACTTGTTCCGAGCGAGAAAATTTCACGGCAACACGTGGCACCGCAGCGGAATTTAATAACATCGCGTACGGACTCGGGACCGTTTAGAATTTAATACTAATTTAAAAGAGATTAGTTCCGTATCCGACGCCAGACAAGGATCACTACCCTCTCAGACAGCCCTTTCGCAGGAGGTGAATTTCAGGGACAACGAGCGAGCGCAGAAGCGCAGTTCCCACGGGGGAAGCGGCTTAATTAATTGAACTTAATTTAAATTTAATTTAATTTCCTCTACCTCTTTGCACATCGTCGGAAGCACACGCGTCCGCCGCATGTCTTGCGTGCCGGTACGATCGCACAAAATAGGCGGCTGTATTTATAAACGGGACGAGCAATAATACGAGATATAATACTTTTTTATAGTCTGCGCTTTAAAGCTGCCATCGAATTATTTTGCTCAAAAAAAGTATTATTTTTTCTGAAAATTAATTAGTGCAATTTCTGTAAGCTAATTTTTTTTATTTTTTTTGCGTAAAAATCTTCATGTAATTCAAATTTCTATTAACTATCACGTTATTTATTGAAAAATCTTCTTTTGGAAAGGGTTTCTTTACCTTCGATTATTGTCGATTATTGAAAAAATGTAAAAATCTTTTCTCTACAGCCGGTTGCAGTAATTTCTTAACCAAAACGTCAACATACTAAAAGCCGGTGAAGATTAATGAACGCGAAGCTGAGATGAGACGAGGAAGACATTACGTGAAATGAGGATTAAAAAGAAATACTAAAGAAATCGGGTTCGCAGGCAACACCTCGGTTTTTTTCTTCTCGTTGCGATTTTACATCTTAAATGGCGAAGAGCTCGTTGTAGTTTGAAAGGCACGCATAACGCAAGATGATTTACTTCGGGTGTAAATCATGGGCTGTTTGCAAGAGAGGTACCGCCAAAATTTACCACAACGGCCCGTCGAGAAGAGAGAATTTCGATTTCAGGCCGCGCACGCGAGCCTTCTCGCGAATATTGAGGAAGTTTCTTTTTCCGTCCCGGAAATCCATCCCGAGTAAAACTTGGATTGTTCCTTCTTCTCGCGATGCGGCCGTTAGAATGAAACTGAGGGTTAGAGGCAGGGATTCCAGGGGGTGAGCAAGGAGAGGGGAGAGAAAAACTGATTGGAATAAAAACTTTGAATATTTACAACTAGGATTGGGGATCTCGAA